ATATATATATATATATATATATATATTGCCACCACTGAAAAATATCCCTGTCCCCCTCTTGACACCCCATAAATATTTTTCTAAATCCGCCCCTGAGGTTACAACCTTTTCCTGTCCTTTGTTGCCATATGCTTGTGGAGGATAACATTTTGATATACTTCTTTTCATTCATCTAAATGGGATAATCTATTACAAGATTTTAAAAGCTAAAAACAGATAAGACCATGTTATTCTAAAGCCATCACAGAGAGCATTCAAATGCTATGAGTTTGTTTATTATATAGAGTAATGTTTGAGTTATGCCCACCATTAAAGCATACTGTGATATCAATTAATGTGAGATTTATATTAGTTTATTTATCTGCGTACTGTAGGAAGACTTTTTTGCAAGGTTCTCCCATGGATTATTTTGTGATATACTGTTTTGTTTGATCATATTACTACAATGTAAGTCTTGTTATAATTAAATAGCTTGATGTTGCATCCCAACATTTATTTTTTTTGTGTTCAGCACAGTTGCTTCTGTGTGCTGGTATACTGACAGTGGTTTTAATCCCAAAAAATTGCTTTTTTTATACTAAGCTAATGAACAGTGGACACTATAAAACTTATTAGAAACATGAGAAGTGAATAAGTAATATAAGTAATATAATATTGACTTTGCCCAGCTGTACATCAAACAGACCATTTACTTTGATTTAGACATTTCAAAGAAACGTAGCTAGTCCATACTTTTATTTTGAAAGTAAAGACCACCATATTCTCCCTGTTTTTGTCTTGAGTTTGGGTAACTTGATGTATCTGCTGGGATCCTTCATTCGTTCTCCTATTGGTCAAACGTAAATGGGATAGGCCCCTGGTTGTGGGTGTGGGGCGTTCAGCTTCTTTTAAAGCAGCTGCTTTAAAAGACTACAAAGAAAACCAGTACTACAAGAAAAGAATGAATTGTTATTCATGCAGATGCATATCAACATATTTGAATACCGTCAAAAACAAACTAAGAAGCATTTAAAACTTTGAAAATCAAGCTCCATCAAACATTAGAGACCTGATTGGTCCAGATGTTCCTGATGGAGCTCTTCACAAAGAATAAACAGGTTTGTTGGTGATTTCAAGAATTTCGAAAAGTAGAATAAGAAGCAGAGCTTTTAGTTATCAGCCTTTTCTCCTGTGGAACCACCATCCAGTTATATACTATGAGGTAGACACCATCGACAGGCAGACAACTTAACAGTTTTATGGAAACAGGAAGAATCAGGAAGACTAGAGGGGAAAAGAATCACAAGGGTAACAATGTGAACGTGTCTAAGTCCTGCTAGAAAATGGAATCATCATTTGTACAAAACTTTAAGCAGAAGGAAGGATAAAGTGCAACAAAATGTCCTAGTAGAGTGGACTTTGGACTTGATTAAACACAATGGACCAACACGATCAGATGACATTGCTCCTCAAATTATTACTGACTGTAGAAAATTCACATTGCACCCAAGCAGCTTGAATCATGTTCCTTTCCACTTTCTCCAGACACTGGGTCCTTGATTTGTGAATGAAATACATTAAAGCCTGAACTGAATTAGGAGAAAAAATTAACGTCAAGATGGAATTGTAATTAACTGAGATGGACCTGTATTTGTTTATATTTTGGTTACTCTGAAACATTATTATTATTATTATTATTATTATTATTATTATTTTATTTATTTATTTTATTTTATTTTTTTTTTTTTTGTTGTTGCCAAAATTAGCTTTGTTTTTCGTGTTTTTATTATATGAACCAGTGGGTTTGAAAAACAAAAAAGAAAAAAAAAGAAACTGAAATGTAACAAATTAAAATAACTACATGCTGAAATCCTCAAAATAAACAAAACAAAAGCACTTAAGAAGAAACAAAAAAAAAATGTATGAGGGCATCAGCAACTTTAAAAATTTAACATATTACAATTACACACATTGCCCTCCAATGCTACAGAATGTATAATAATCAAAACTTTTGACATTTTGTGTATAAAATGCTGTCTCTCCCTGTGTTTACATGACTGGCTATTGAGCTGTAAAACACTTGGCCTTAAACCCTTTTCAAGAATATTAACAAATATAGATTATACATCAACCAAAGCACTGCTTGCCTCCTTGTTGACCCTTTGTTATGGCAATTACAGTAACAGCACGGTAGACAGGCGTTCAACTATTCTGATACTAAATGATCGAGTTGCGCCATCTAGTGTTCACAATTGCTCAATAAAATATTGCTGAAAATCTCAAAATTCTTAAAACAAATACTAAACTTTCTAAGCTAAAAATGTTATCCAACTTTGTATATAAAGTACCACTTGAGTAAATTTAGTTGTTTCCAGGTACAACCGCATTAAAGCACTTTATTTTTTTTTCTGATTACTGTGTTTTTCTTATAACAACAAAGCAAAAGAAAAAGGTTATCGATTTGTGTATTTTAATTGTCCATCAGATTTTATAAAGAAACTGAATTTTCCAAGTTCCAAGTTGCATAAATAAACACAAATATATGCTGAAGTAGGAGCTTGAAGTGTAAAAGTTTTATATTTCTCTCCAACTTAATCACAAAATCCAACATGGCCGCCTCGTGTTTAATGTCTTGTGGCCCAGATTATGTGCTCACTCTCCAATGACAGAGAAGTTCTCCACAGCTTGGTTTGACCCTCACCTTGATCCATCTACACAACCTGAGGTTCATGTGGATGTTATTAAGGCATTGTTTGTTAGATGGAATCTTGCTGCAGGCGACATCCACACCAAACAGATGATACAAGTTACGTTGTGTTGGAAGTATTTTAACAACAGATGTGAAATAGATGAGAGAGAGAAGATGTTTATCTATTGCCACTGATAATACCGTCACAACATTTACCAATAATATAGAAATTGCACAATCTTTGTGCACAAACACTGCAAAGAAATTTGACTAAAATTTCAGAATGAACAAAATGACTCAAAGAACGTTGAAGATCAGAAGACAGATTGTGTAAAACAAAAAGTCAAAATCACCACCTCTCAGTAATGTATTTGACTACCTGCTCCACACAGGAAAAGTTTCAACGTTTTAATCAAAACTAAAGGCTTTTCAGCAATGTATAAAATAAATTTTGGGGACCCTCTGAGAGACAGAAAAAGTGAGTTGTATGTGGCGCAGCCAAAGACACGGACATTAATCCCAGCTTCAACCACAATTACCAAGACACTGAAATAAGAAAAAAGATGTTGAATTTTTAAAGAAATGTAGGTTTATTTTATAAAAGTTCCATAAATTTAAGCATACAGAAAAAAACTGATTACATACATCTGAAAGGAGTACAATACTTCTGTCAATAACTGAGAGAGTTGAAATGCATGACTATAAAAAGAGAGTAAAAACAAATAAATTACAGCAACTAAAGTTTTGCTGTATTCCTTATACATTAGCAAGTGCAATAGACCATAGCTTATTTAATAAAGATGACACTTTGTTCGTTTGGAAGACATTTGTCTTTTACAATAGATACTTTATCTGGTCAGTTCAAACTCCAATCAAAGCTTACAGTGTTGACGGTTGAACTTAAAGTGTTGCATTTAACAAAAATACACCTGTTGTTCCACAACAACCATAATAAAAAACATTCTTCATTTATATGATAAAAATTAATTCTCCTTCATCTCATCTTGGTAGTCTACCATAAAATATTAGAATATTTGGTAAATATCATGGAAAGAGAGCTGCTGTTTTCTGTAAGAAACTGTAGCATCACAACCTACATATTTATGCAAGCTGGTGTGTTGGCATATTATTGTCAAGTTTACAGGTTGGAGTTTGCACCAGAAATATTCTTGGTGTCCAGGTAGGTGATGAGATCCTTCACCCAGGGGGTTGAAGGTTTGACACACAGCTGACGGCCGGTCACCATGTTCAGCCTGGATGTGAAAAAGGAAGAGGAGAGTGTCAGCAGATTCAGGAGCAGGTTCAGTGTCACTGGTGCAACTTCTGTAACAGTGAATACTCACAAGATGGCAGAGTTGGAGCAGCGCTGACTGGTTTTGAGGTAGCTCATAACTTTATCTTTTGACACCTGCTTGTCATTGAACTTGAAGCAGCACTTCTTTGGGCCAACTCCACGCAGGCCTGCCAACAGAAAACACAGAGTGAATATCTCAGAGACATGATCAGGTTCATCTCTATGAGTTCCCTTTCTTAATTTCCTGTTAAACTGTGAAAAGGTAACATCTGAAATGGCTTCTTTTTAAAATAGTAGAGATTGTGCTTGTTCCACTTTCTCTGACTCTGCCTGTGTTTGTATCTGCTTTCCATTATTTTGGTAAAAATTAAACATGTGGCGTTTGAGAAGACAGAAGATTTTGAACTTATTTGATGCTAAAATCAAAACAGATTCAGGAAAAAGGTTATGGATATACTTAAAAGTGTGTTTATGTGTAGATTAAATTTATTTCTACCTATTTTGATGTTTCTTTTCTAAAATTTAAATATATACGGTTTGAAAAACTGTTTTTATCACCATTTATCAGCAAGTCAGCAGCTAAACGTCAATATTTTGACACGTTTTTAAAGAATTAAATATGCATCTTTAGTAATCCTGACTTTATCTCATGCAAAGCAATGGATTATTATTTCAGTTATTATATAAGGTAGTTCAGCATATTTTAAACTCACTGTATTTTTTATCATAAAAACTCATTTTAGAATTGTAAATTAGTTTGATAGTGAAATAGTTTCTATTTTAAAAGTTTCATCTTACCTTCAGTGAGAGCGATGAAGGCCACCATCATCACAATCGCAGACAGAGCAAGACGAGCCATCCTGGTGTGTGTTTGTTGGTGTCAGGGAGCAACAGTGGTTAGAAAATCTCAGCTAAGTTCAGCTTGTTATCTCTGCTGTTTGATCTCCATCTGCCTTCATACTTATACATCATAAAAGGGAACCACCTCCCCAATTTCCATTTGTGGGGGGAATTACCTACGTACATGGGAGATTTTTTTTTAAGGTCTTTGTGTCTGCTAGTACGTGACATCTTATTACTTCCCTAAAATGTTTAATGCGGAAGAGAGTGGTTTCCCTTCCTGACCAAAACTGTGGTTTCACCCTCACTCTTATCACATGATGCTTTATCTGATGGCTCTGTATACAATGCAAAACCTCTTTGCTGTAGACCCTGTAGGGAATTTCTTATTTGAACGAGGGTTTTTTTTTTTTTTTTTTTTGCTCCAATAACAATTTGAGTCATAGAGGCATAAGTAATTGTTCATTGTTCAGTGTGAATCTGAAGTTGTATTAAAAGAGTTTGAAGTAGGTTAAGACAAACTAAAAAACCCATTTCAACAAACAAAAACATAAGGTGTACTGGGACCCCGATCCAATACATGACATTAGACCAGAACATCCCTCGACACTGTAGAAACAAACCTCTGGCAATAAAAGAGATGGGCTAATAAAAATAGTTAAACAACCACATTAAAACATAGTCTACTAATTAACATACATCAATTAGTTTAATACTGCCAATGATTATTAATAAATTCTTAAAACAATTACTAAATACTCAGCACACCACCAGGAAATATAAAATTGATAATCATAAATGACATGTCCAAGGCTGTAAAATATCTGGAAACATCTTTGACAATATCTGTGATCTGAATAACAATGGAAAAATGTTTAAACTTTTAAAGGACAAAACATTTTAAAAATTTGGTTTAAATGCTGATTTGTGTAGGCCTCTATTTAAATGTCCTTTTTTATAGTTTATTTACCACACCACACCTTGATTTTATCATTTTACTCACCAGAATTATATTTTTTGGCTCTGTGACTGAATGCGTATGTATTGAAAAATTAAAAGTTTCTCATCTTATTACATTTATGGCTCCAAGTAGTGTAGTTAATTCAAACTCTTTAGTTTACCGCTGAAAAATCTCTCCATAGATGAAGTCCATGAACCTGCAAGTCTGAGCACAGCATTGAGTGTTTATGTGATCATAATAAGTGAGGAAAGCTGTTACATGTCTGGTGAAAATCTTGAATTTTTCTGACATGTTTCATTGGTAATATCCGCCTGTCTGATGTGTTTTCCCGGACACAGGCGTAGTGATTTGGGTTTATACAAAATGTTTTGCCGTGAAAAAGAGTTATAAAAATTAAGGATACATGATAGTATCGGCATGTTATCGGTATCGGCCGATATTAGCTGTGAAATTTAAAATCGGACATTGGCCATTCCGTCAAAATAACTCACCAATATGAAAGGCCTTGTTTTTACAAGACAAACCAGTGACAAAGATGTTTGCAGCACAGCACGTCAAATTTGCACTGAGTGTTGTCCTTGTCTTAGAGAGAGCAAATGTCGTGAATAAATTTGACATTAAACATAATGCAAGTTGAAAGTGCTACATTATTTTCAGCCTCCTTTTTAGCATTTGCATTGACAAAGATAATGCAGTACTTTAATTCCACAGAATAGAAAGCCATATGTAATGGTGTGGAAACAAAACACGTTCTTGAACAACTCGGTGTATTTATTTAACGTAGCACAGCAAGTACAACTAACCGAACGAGCACAATGCCGTTATCCTTTATAACGTCATCTCTCCTCCTCTTCTTCTCCTTCTTCTTTAATGGCGGTTGGGAAGCAACTTAATGGTGTGCATTACCGCCACCTACTGGTATGGAGTGTGGATCAGAACGCAATTTGTATAATCTCCATAGACATAATATAAGGATTATATTATATCTATGATAATCTCCCCCCCAGTAGGAAAAAAAAATCTCTCTTACTCTTCCTACCGTTTCTCATTTATGCTTGTCAGCGGCTCCGCCTAATGGCGTGGAATAGTATTACACAACACAACACCATATAGTTTCAGTAAGTAGGTAAAGGAAAAAAAAAATCTGTATTGGTATCGGTTATTGGCAAAATGAGTTTTAGTATATCGGCATATTGGATACCGACCAAAAA